ACTTCATCAAGAGCAGAGGCTCTTTACCTGTCCATCTGGAAACAGCACACTCTTACATTTAAGGGCGTATCCTGGCTGATTAACGCTTTATATCAGAACATGTCTCTTGAGATGAAGAGACCGTCTGACAATTGACAGCAATTATCCTGAAAATTACTTTGCTTTCTGTTACTGTGATAAGTGCCGTGTTCACAAACAACCTGCAGAGGAAAGGGTTGATTTCACTTACTCTTCCAGATCACACACATATCATATCATTGAGGGAAGCCAAGGAAGGAGCCACGTTCTGGAGTCAGGAACTAAAGCAGGGACTGTGAAGGAATGTTGCTTACTTGCTTGCTCCCTGTGGCTTGCTCAGCTGGCTTCCTTATACAACCCAGGACCATATTCCCAGGGTGACAACCTCCACAGTGGAGTGAGCCCTTCCATATCAAATGACAGTCAAGAAAATACCCTCTTTTGAGGCTTCCTCTTCACAGCTGACTCTAGGCACATAGCAAGTTGACACTAAAAAAAAACTACCATGTTGTGAAATCATGAGTTCAGATCTCAGCTACCCATGTAACAATCTGGGCATCAATACTGCCATCACAGAGGCTCTGCAGTGGTATGGAGATCAGACTGTCGCTGAAACTTTCTGGTTTTCAATCTTTCCAAAACATGAAGGACACAGGTTTAGGGAAAGACTCTTCCTCAATGAAATAAGTGGAGGGTGACAGAAGAGGACATCAGATGTCTTCTTTTGGCCTCTGCAAATGCACACAGGCAAGCGCACCTGTACACACATAAGTATAAATTCATACATAGATACGCAAAAATAAATAAACAAAAAATCATTAATATCTTGGAATCTGGGAAACTTTCAACTTAATAGACCATTATTAGACAATAATTAGACAATTATCCTAAGGACAAAACAAACAAACAAACAAACAGAAAAAAACAAAACCAAAACAAACAAACAAACAAACAAAAATAAACTCTGCTCACTCTCTGGGTTATTGGCTGTCTCCATCTTCAGACCATCCCACACACGATGGCAAAGACACAAGATTGCCAGAGCCCTGGCTTGGTGTGGTGATAAGCTGCTGGACAGCCTCTTCCCTTATTTTTTCCAGCAAGTTGCTGCAATCCCCATTTGTACCCAAAGCCACTACCAGGAGGCGAATTCCTCAGATCTTTGTAAACTCATGTAGACCTAGGAAGGAAGACCGGCATGGCATGAGCCCTTCTTCCCCATCCCCACTTCACTTTCTCTCATTAACTGTGGTAAAATAGGCAAAAAAATTACAGCTTCTTCCCTAACATTTCTGAATGGGGGTTCATAAGCATTAAGTACATTCACACAGCTGTGTTCCTGCCCATCTCCAGAACTGTCCTCTTGGAAAACTGAAACTGTGCCAACTAACTCCACATTCCCCATTGCCTCAGCTATAACTGCCATTCCACTTTCTGCCTCCACCACCGAGACCATGTGCCTCGTACAAGTGGAATTTTCTGTCTCCTCCTTTGTTTCTACCTCCCCCAGTTCATTTTCACAGGCTTCAAACATGAACTCCCCCTTGGAGAGGTCATCCTTTGACCCTCTTCTTTCCCTTTTCTCTCTGGGGAAATGCTCCTGTGCTTTTCCATCTCTCCCACTTTGTCCCATTTTTAAAAAAGTAACTCTGGAATGTTCTGGTTCTTCCGTCCAGGTAGGAGCATCAAAGTGCAAGTGACCATCATCAAGAACTAGAGCTGCCACCATGTAGCATCTCAGAAACTGGCTGAGAACTCTTCTCAAAGTCCAGTAGAAGTCTTAACTTGTTACTCATCTCCAATGGAAATAATTTCTTCTTGACAGGAAATGCCATTTAACCCACTTCTAATGTTTCCCACCCCACACCCTGCTAAAGACCAACTTTCAGCAGCCCGCAGTAGAGTGTGTAGATTTCCGTTTGTGCGCAGGTTGACGAGATTCTGAGAACTAAAGTCTAGGAACCAAACCACATTTAGTGCCACTTCTCCGACAGAGTGTCCAAGGGTCCACATAGCTCCTGAGAAGTAAACTTCCAGAACACAGTCTACTTGAGAGCTGAAGACTGAATACGTGTTGTGCATTCTTTACAAGTTTCTTCTGCTTTCTTGGTTTTCTTTAGACACAATTGTGTATGGAGCTGAGGTTGGTCTCAAACTGATTATCCTTGTGAGTCAGCCTCCTAAGTGCCATTATACCTGTATCCTTATAGGTCAACCTTTCATTAGCAATTCAAACCTGAAAGCTACCAACCAAATCTATGCCACAGAACAAATAGTGAACAATGAAAGAAGTGGCCAACCGAAGCAGAGCATTCAGCCTCTTTTTCTAGGTTCCCTGGTGGTTCAAGACCTGCTACCCAACATGAGAATTCTACAGATTCTGACAATATCCTGTGCCTTGTAAGTCTCAGTTGTTTGTGTTTTCTTCTTTAAAAAGTAATTTTTAAATTAAACTAAATACAATTTTTAAGACAGGGTCTCACTATGACTGGTCTGGAACTCACCATACTTTGGAAATTTAATTGACAAAAGTCGCATGCATTTGTTGTTTACAAAATAATGTTTTTGAAATATACCACAGAATGGCATATTTGAGCTAGTTAATGAAGGTTTCCTTTGCTTTGTGTGTGTCTGTGTGTGTTGAGAAACCCATTTGGTCGGGGTGTTTTGTTGCACATTTCCCACTGCATATTGAAGAAACATATATTTAACTGAGGCATTTTGAAACTTTGCAAACCCATGGAAGAGAGCATTGGCGTTGAAATCAGCCTCCAAGCTAACAAGCTAGAAACAACAGAAGCAAGCCCAGAGCAAAAAAATCAACCAGCTAATGGTGTTATTTAGCAGGAACTAATTTGATGGTTACTAGAAACCATTAAGAAGCTACACACAGAAAATTAAATTCTAGCTCAAGCTTAAGACACCAGTTGAAGGCTCTCACATTAGCTGATGATCTAGTGTGGCTCCAGGGGGAAGTGAGGTATGAGGCGCTATTCCCAACAAGGAAGCACAACAGCAATCAAGATCAAGTTAGGATGGCTCACAGCAACAGGTGCACTGGCCAGGGTCTTTACTCTCACAGGTCTGTGGGACACTGTTAGCACTCCTGTCTCAGTTTCGACCTTAGCTTTCTGGAAGAAGAGGGTCACGTGTATTGACTTTGCTTTGCTTTTATTTCATGCTCAGTCATTTGTCAGATATAACTCCTTGAGCACTGGGACGTTCCTTATGATACTTACCTTGAATTATTTCATGCATGCCAGTCTTGCCACCTTGTAAAGGTGGCAAAGAAGCTGACTGGCAACACCACAGTTGGATCTTCCATAACACCTTCAGTCTATGGAGTACAGCATGGATATGTGGTAAGCGTGGGTTGGTGAACTCTCATGAGGGCCTGCCATGCAGTTGCATGCACTGAAACCATGCCAGTTCCACATGCTAATCTCAGCTCAATGTCTTGGGAAGAACAGCACAGAAAACGTTGTCCTGCTAGTGTCTGGGGGCGGGGGAGGCACATCAGAGTAGAGACACTTTCAGTCCTGGGGTGGTGCTGCTGGTGGTGGGGATTCCTTACTGTGTAGACAGTTAATGTCCCACGAGGGTGGGGGTGTATAGCCAGAACCAACTTTCTTCATGTTATTGTTTCAGATTAGTACTCCCATGTTGTGTGTTTCCCTTCTCTTCCTCATTTGAAGCCAATCCCCATATGTTAAGGCAATAGCAGAAAACCATCCAATATGGCACTCCATATGGAATACCAGGAAGAAATGGCATTCCTCTCAGGCCTGCCAAGGGTGAATTCAAGGACAGAACAAGAGAGGCTGATGATGGAGGCGCAAGGTCACTGCCTGGCTAGCCCTGGTCTGAGGGCTCACTGTAGAGGGACAGCGTCTACTCTCTGACTGAGCAGCTGGATGTCAGATGCAGCCCTTGGCAGCCCCCAGGGCAGTGGAACACAACCTTGCATGGTTCCTGTCTAGCTGGTAGCTTCCTGCCAGGGAAGGCTGCCAAGCAGTTTGTGACAGCTGTGTAGTGAGCAAGTCTCTGAGGTTCTCTAGTACACGGCCGTTTGTGACTATGTATGTGTCTACGTATCATGGGAAGTCACAGGGTCCCTATTTTCCACTGGCTTTCATTTCTCTGTGTTATGCCTGCTTTTCTTGGCCTTTACAATGGGATTGTGAGCAGAAACCTATTCATTCTATATGTGAAGAATATTTAGGTTTTGCTCTGTTCCTAAGCAGTGCTGACTTTCAATGTAATCATATTTACTTACTAGCATCTTATCAGAATAATTAACATCTTTCATGGATTTTTGCTAGGAGAAACTACCCACCTGCATAATTGTTTTGTTTAAGATTTAAAGATCAGCAAGATGGTTTCGTGGGTAAAGATGTTTGCCATCAAGCCCAAAGACCTGAGTCCAATCTCTGGCACCCATATGGTGGAAGGGTAGAACCAATGTCCTACAAGTTCTCTCTTTTATGACCTCCAGATGCACAACTGTAACATATGTGCAATCATCTACCCACCGCCACATGCAAAACAAAGAAACAAATGTAAAAGAATTAAAGATAGAATTTTAGCCATTTACTATTTTTAAAAAATGAACTTTAAGCCAGGTGTGGTGGAGCACACCTTTAATCCTAGCACTCAGGAGGCAGAGGCAGGTGGATCTTTGTGAATTTCAAAAACAGCCTGGTCTACAAAGCAAGTCCAGGACAGCTAATATTACATAGAGGAACCTTGTCACACACACAAACAAACAAAAAAGAAAAAATGAACTTTAAAACATTAATGATTGTTATTTGTTTAAGTCTTAAGAGACTTAATTTTTCTGTTTACTCAAAACAGCTTTTGCTTTGTGTTCTTAGAGTTTCTGACATGTGGACTCAATTTTTTACCAGCAGATACATATTGAATGATTAAGACTTTCTCTAATGGCAAATATGAAAAGTTAAGAATGAAATTCTAGACATTACCTTTCAGCATTATTCGCCCAGTGGATCCTCCGAAGGTACTGAGAAGGCTGCTTCTTGCTCCTGAAGATGTGGTTGCCTCAAGGAGAGAACCGGTGATATACTGGGCTATGGATGTCCTTTGGAGGGTGGCACGGTACTCACATTTGGGGTCTCGTCCACACTGCTTTAAGCACAGACCAGCTCTAATCGTTCCATGGGCTGCCTCAGAGCTTGGGAGCTGTGTGGGGCAATGGAGAAGAGATCCAACTGTATCTTCTGTTTCTTCTCTTCTCACTGCACTGTAGATCTGTGAATAGCACAAAGTACAGGAAGTATTCATCTGGTTTCTTAGAAAAGCAAATTAGCTTGTTGACAAAATGCCAAGATGACTTATTAAGAAAGAAGGCTCAGTCGGTCTACGCACAAACACCTTTGAGCTCTGCACGAATGCATTAACCTGAACATTCTACAGACACCATCTATTTGGAGAAGCTCCGTGCAGTTATGAAACAGGCCATTCAAACAACTCTGCCATCAAGTAGAGCACTTAAAGTTGCACCAACCAAAAATACATTCAGCTCAAATTTCTCCTCCTCCACAGGAGAACAATGTTCTGTAGAGCCGCAAGGACAAACCCTTCTCTCATCCGTTTGGGCTCTCTTGCATGACTGACTATGTCTGCCTGCCTTTCTCCATGATTCAATCTGACCTACGCAGGGAATTCTTGCTTCATGAAGAAAGTAAAGCAGAGATGAGAGAGGGTCATGGGGAAGATTTCCCTCATGGGCATACTCTTCCAGTCTATCAGGTAGCATCAAAGTCTTTGACATTTTTACTCTCTTCCTCTACCCTCTTCTCCCACATTCAGAGAGTTAACCCCTGCCCAGTATTTCTTTATTTTTTTAACATCTTTTTAAAAAATAATTTATTGAACTTTATTTTATGTGCATTGGTGTGAGGGTGTCAGATGCTTGGAACTGGGGTTACAGACAGTTGTGAGCTGCCATGTGGGTGCTGGGAATTGAACCCAGGTCCTTTGGAGGCACAGACAGTGCTCTTAACCACTGAGCCATCTCTCCAGGCCCCTGCTCAGTATTTCTGCTCTGTCATTTTCTTGAGACCTTCTTCTTTGATCACTTGTATTCACCAAGAATGATCTGATCAGAACATGTTCTCAGCCTTTTCTTCTTCCGATAGGATGGAATGACTAACGTAGTCCTGAACTTAGACATCGTGCAGTGTGATTCACTGTGAAGAAAAACATGGGCAAATGCAGAGGGTAAAACATACTGCTTGCACTGTAGTGTTTCCACATTTCGCTGAAGAAGAGTTCTGGCTATTATGGAGTTCAACAATACTGCAAGGAGGTGTTGGGTTGTGTGAGGTGGAGTCTTTCAGACAATATGTGAACACACGGAAGAAATGTCACACGAAGGTGCATCTTTGGCTTTGTAAAGGAGGAAGGAAGGGATACTACTCGACAACGAATTCATCATGACACCCTGAACATCTTGCTTTGGTTTATTCACAGTTTCTGTGTCAGGTCTAGGCAAATCAGAGAGTTTTTCATCTCACAGAGATCACAGACCTACAATGAGCTTGTGGCAGAGTGGCAATGGAGGTGCCTTCATGATGGTGTACAATCCAAATTTTACCTTAACTATGGTTCTTAAAAAGCCCCTGTATTAGGTTCTTATGAAACCCTGGAACAATCTCAACATCCCACCCAACCCCAGCATTCAAACTGGGCTAACCTAGATTCATACTTTGCTTTTCTGCATGCTGATACATCTTTGCCATTTACAGTCAGAGTGACAATTCTTAGCTTTACTTTCTGTCATTAAACTTCTGCACACAACTGTGTCCAAGAAAATGGTGTGTTGGGATTGTATCCAGATTCTGAGGTGAGGTATAGGGGATGGATAGATACCTGGTTCTGCCTTGACTGGCCAGAGAGTTGGTCATGAGCATGAGTAAGGGACTTGAAGGTTTTGAGTCAGGTTCCTCCTCTGTAAAGTGGGGCCAATAGTGCTGCTTCTTAGGGACACTGTGGGATTCACTAAGGAAACTCACGTAGCATACCTGACTTAGTGTTAAGAAACAGCGCCCATTACTATTGGGTAACTCTGTAGGACAGCATGCACTCCTCCTCAAGGAATGACGGGAGCTTGTTAACTAGAGAGCACAGTCTACGTTATTCAGCGTGATGTAGTTATTACTATGCTTCATGGTGGCTGGACAATGTCATCCTAACCCTGTCTGGGCAAATGCAGCTCTCAGGCCATGACTTTCTTCTCAGTGCCTGTCTTTTCCTAGACACTGATGTTGTTCAAAAAGGAGAGCAATCTCCGTTGTCACCCTGTCATACATATCAAACCACACAGGCAACCTATACCTCAGTAAGTCCCACACAAACTCTTCAGGACTAAATGGTCCAGAATGTCACAAGCACATTCTTGTGAGGACTAAGAAAGGCTCCACAGGGAAAGCAGTGTTTGGCCTGAACCTTAAGAAGCAGTTGTGACTCTAACTGCAGTTAGGTGGGGAGGGTAGTTCAGGATAGAACCCACGCGATGGGGCTGGAAAATGCAGACTCTGCCCTGTCAATAGCAAATAGAGCAGGGTATGCATGGGGGGGTGTGTGTGGGGAGTGTTAACTGTGCAGTGAGAAAGGCTAGACAGCCTGGTAACAGAGAGCCTTAAAGCAAAGAGTTCCAGTCCTTTAGAGGGTGCAACCCTTGACACTTGGTATCTGTTTGTTCTTAGAAGAGGAGTGAGGCCAAATGTTTTGTTTGAAAAGATGAACAGACAGTTCTCAGTTACTAATAGGTTGCCTACTTTCTTTTCCTGCCAAGCTGCCCTCAGGCTTACTGTGCCCACAATCATTGCTCTATGATCTATACCTATTATAACACTTTCATAGATTCCGAATGGCCCATTTAGTCCTTTCTCCAACTTTTCCAGTATATTTTTCTCAAAATCTTAGATCTAGAAGGTATGGCAAGACATACAGACATCTTGATCACAGAAACTTGAACACAGTAAATATTCGCCCCCCGATACTTGTACTTTAATGGAACACTAAAGATAACTATAAATGTTATAAAGAAATTTATTTTGTTTTGATTAACTGGATGTGTGAGTGTTTCTCACAATAATTGTTTGCTAAAGGACACTTAGCCCACAGAATGGCACAATATAATTTGCTCAAATCTAACAGACTTACTTCAAATTCCTTGATCTTGATGGGACCTCTGAAATACACTCCCCCCCTCCCACAGCTCTTTTAAAGCCCTTTTTCTCATCACACCACAGGTCCGTCTCCACCTGTTCTGTGTTTCTTTCACTACGCCTTCAGGATAGTTACAATTCAACAGGGAAATGCCAACAAGCAACTAATACATGGAGGTCACAAAGTCATAGCTGTGAGCCAGATTCGGGCGTCAGATTGGCTTCATCCAACAGTGGGCCGTTATCAGTGAAGTTTGTATGTACGTGTGAAGCTGAGGCATTCCCTGAACACTGGACAGCCTCATAGCACTGAGGTTCCCACAAGATACCACATGGCAGGATTTCTATACTGTCACATGAAGCAAAAGGTTTTACCTGTCAGCATCAGTCTCTGGCTCTCTTTAGTTATCACATTTGTCCAATATCTGGTTATTGGTGGAAGAAATTCTGTGGCCCTTCCCTCAGTAATCTATGGAGAAGGGGGTAGATTTATACGATAAGTATGCACAGAGGTTCTCCAGTGTGTCCTACCTATGTTCTTCCTGTGTTAATTGCTGAGTGTATATGGAGAAAACCACTCTGTACTCTCAGAAGGTTACACCTCATGCTATGCAAGCACCAAGGGAGGGAAGCAACCAGTAGTCTTATCTTGCTGTGAAGCCCATGAACTAAGAGTGACCAGCATGGCAAAGTAACCCTCAGGGAGCAATAGTGGCCCTCAAATTGTAGCAGTAACCGACAGCTGTCTAATGAGACTTCAGGCTTACTCAGCAGGGGGAAATCATGCCTGGCACTAGAAACCTAGCCAATTACCTGGGGCTAGTGAGGTCACGGGTCTAAGAGGAGAGCCTACTACTATCTTTATTAAACCAGGACATTCCAAAATGCATTCTAAATACTTATCCTTAGACCCACAGATAAATGTAGCTTTCATCCCTCATGAAAGAAGCTTCTCTTTGCAACGGACAGAGATCATTATAGAAAAACACAACTGGTGAAAATGTAGAGAACAATTGATCAGGAGGTGCCCAGCCTAATGGATACATCTACAACACAAGTGCTGCACCAAAGGTTCAGGGTACAGCTTAGAAAAGGGGATGGAAAGATTGTAAAAGCCGGAGAACCAAGAGTCTGTAGTTCGGAGAGATTGTGTCTCCTAGAAATCACAGGGATGCTTCACCCATGACATCTCAACAATACCCCAACCTAACCAAGACCCAAACAAGGGCAACAGCAATAGACATGCTACTCTGCAAGTGGGAAGTCTCACAGGGCCCCACCCCGAGACAAGGAACTACAGGCAACTAAGGAAGGCTGTGAGCAGGAGAATTAATTAGTCTTCCTCAGGGATGGGACCCTTAATTGGTCATCCAATACCAAGCAGTCAGCTTTGGGATCAAATGCATACAAGTAAGTGAACTCAGCAGGTTGTGTTTGTATATTTATGTGTGTGTGTATATAACGAAAAAGAGGCCATGAATTTGAGAGGGAGCAAGGAGATACAGAAAGGGCTGGAAGGGAGAAATCATGTAATTATATTTAATTAAAAATAAAATACAATAAAAGGTTGCACCTCACTTTAAACTTGAACAAAGAAATAGAAGGGAAAGAGCTCTAAGAACGAATGTCGATGTCTCTATCACCTCTACCACCAAAGCCCAGAAAAGAGAATCTGAGTTAGCAAGCCCTAGTCATACCAATTTTTGACAAACAAACCCAAAACATTTATTAGAAGAATGCTGAGCTGTGGACAGAATGGTGGTAGATATGGTAATCAGGGAACATGCCAAAACCAGTTACTAGCTCTTACCAGATCACTTCCTTATAAAAAGGAAGGAGCCTTGGCCATCTGGTATGCACACAGCAGAAAGAGCAGCCTCATTACTTACCAAGGCTCTGGAGCATAGCTCTGCCTCCCAGCTCCCTCTCCTGCTTTCCAGCTGTGTGATCTTCCTTGGATAAACCATTGCTGTACCATTCTCTGTGATAGATGGACATATCTGCTTCATAAAGTTGAGGCTAGAATTGCAGTCTCTGATGCAGATAGTACATTAAAAGAGCATCTGGAGCTCAGTA